CTGACCCAGCTGGAACATGTATCGAATGGCTGCCACTTGAATCCCGATGGAGCTGGGGTTGCCCACAGGGATTGGGACCTGCGTATTAAAAAATAGCACCAGGGGTGGCTTCTGCTGCACCTGCCAAGCCCAAGCATGCCCCACCCCACGGCAACCCAGCTCTCAAGGGGGCCCGGAGGAGAAGGAGGTGGTGCCATTGGACCAGAACCCCACATGGCAGAGGCGGTCTGATGGAGTAGGGTAGGTAGAGAGAAAGGGCGCGCCCCCAGAAGCTGGCTTAGCTGCCCTACCCATCGTGCTGGATGGGAGGGGATGGAGGCTGTTGTGTGCAGCAGAATGCACTGACTGCAGAGCTAGTGCACCCAGAGACCATGTCTACATGAGGAAACGATGTAGAGTGAAATGATGTAAAGCAGGGATATTTTTTCCCACAGTTGACTTCCATTTGGACAAATTGGTCTCTCTCTTTTTTTTTTTTGCATGACATAAGAGCGGGGAATGGGAGGACATATAACGCAACAGTTCCTACAAGTGTCAACAACATTAGTCCGGAACTGACATATACTGGGGAGACATATAGCGGGGATGCCCTGTACAGAGAAGCCTCAAAAATAGTCCGAGGCAGGCTCCATTAATGAGGACGTGCTACCTCAACTTAGAGGCCGGGAAGCACTGGGGAGTTATTTTGTAATAAAGGTACTGGAGTGTCCACACTAATGCTATTTCGAAATAGCTATTTCAAAATTAACGCTATTCCCTGAGGAAAACTGGAGTCCAGATTTCGAAATGCACAGCCCGTTATTTTGAAATAAGGGATTGGTTAGGGTGGATGCTCCGCCTATAAATTCAACCCAAGGGGGGTTATTTTGACATAAAGCCCTAGCATAGGCCAGGGCTAATTGCCTTGCCGGTGTGGACATCTTGAACATCACAGCACCGGGGGATGATTTACTGCACAATGACTTGCCAGTCTAGACTTAGCCTTAATGCTAGTCAGTGTCCTGCTCACTGTGGTCAGTTTTTGTTTTCTCCTTCCTGTTGTCTAGATCAAGTTTCAGGGAAAATGAAGGTTCCCTCCATCGGCCACAGCGCCAGAGCCAGCTCCCCTCTGCCTGGTTTTCTTGTTTTCTTCCTGACTTGTTATGTCCGCAGCAGGGAATCAGGTAGGACTCTGCGCTGGGTCTGCGGTTTCTGAGAGGATTTATTTAAATCCAAGAAGTGTCTTAACAACATGTGCACCTCAGAGTCAATGGAACTTCTCATAGGATGCGTCTGTACTGCACCGCTATTTCGAAATAACAATGCGGGTGTCTACACAGCCATTCCTTTATTTTGAAGTACTTTCAAAAGAATAGGCAGCTTATTCCAAAATCTGTAAACCTCATTCCATGAGGAATAACGCCTCTTCTGAAATAGCTATTTCGAAATAAGGTCTGTGCAGACGCTCCACTGCTGCTATTTCAAAATGGCCCCTCATCAGGGCCATTCTAAGTTATTCCTCCCCGGGGCCTCGTGGGGCTCTAAATCAAGGTAGCATGTCTACGAGTCTGCCTCGGACTTATTTTGAGGCTTCTCTGCAGTGTAGACGTGCTATTTTGAAATAAGTGTAGTGCAGTGTAGACATACCCACAGTGTGCAAACATAACACAGCAAGCTCGGTGTAAGCGGGGTGAGAGCCCTGCTACTATAGAGAACTCTCCTGGCTTCTGTACTACCCTGGTGAAATGGGCTAGTGACAGGATCAGAGTCCTCGCTCCCACGTCTTTACCCAGCGCATATCTACAGTGGGGAGATATTTGAAAACAACTCCCCTTATTTTGAAGTAACCAGGCGTCGACACGACCAAGCCTGTTATTTTGAAACAACAATGCCTGCTTGGGAAGAGGAAAAAGCTTATTTCAAAATAGTTATTTGGGGAATGAATTATTATTTGAAAATACCCTAGAAGGGCAGGCACAGCCCCAGTGGCCTCCCTGACCTCGAGGGCTCCACTTCCTCTTTCCCGTGCGGCAGAGTCCTTGGAACCCAGCAAGGCTGGGCCCAGGGTTTCTGCAGGACTAAATCTCAGGGAGGGGCGGAGTTGTCCTCACTTCAGGGTGCTGGCTCTGCACTGGGCACTTCCTAAGTTGAAAAATGGGGAACGCTAAAGGAAAGAGGGGGAAGGATAGCTCAGTGATTTGTGCATTGGCTTGCTAAACCCGGGGCTGTGAGTTCAACCCTTGAGGGGGCCATTTAGGGGTCATGGGCAAATCTGTCAGGGATAGTACTTGGCCCTACCATGAGTGCAGAGGGCTGGACTGGACTGGATGACCTCTCAAGGTTCCTTCCATCTCTGTGAGATGGTATATCTTTATCTTTTCTGGAAACCCCTCCTTGGAACCCAGCAAGGCTGGGCCCAGGGTTTCTGCAGGACTAAATCTCAGGGAGGGGCGGAGTTGTCCTCACTTCAGGGTGCTGGCTCTGCACTGGGCACTTCCTAAGTTGAAAAATGGGGAACGCTAAAGGAAAGAGGGGGAAGGATAGCTCAGTGATTTGTGCATTGGCTTGCTAAACCCAGGGCTGTGAGTTCAACCCTTGAGGGGGCCATTTAGGGGTCATGGGCAAATCTGTCAGGGATAGTACTTGGCCCTACCATGAGTGCAGAGGGCTGGACTAGATGACCTCTCAAGGTTCCTTCTGGCTCTGTGAGATGGTTTATCTTTTCTGGAAACCCCATCACCCTGCCCCCGGCTGTGCCACAGGGATGCCGTGGGTCAGACACTTGCTCTCGTGGTGGCCACATACCCTAAGGCTCAATGTGGCAGGAATCTTCTCCCCAGTGTTAGTTCCCTCAGCTGGGGTTTCCCTCCAGCCCGGCCTGCAAGGCCCATTGGCTGGTGGCATCTCCTTGTGCTGGGTCTCTTCCCAGTAGCTCCAGGGAATGCAAAATACAGCAAACAGGACTGATTTTGTGTGCGCCACTGACTAAATGGACAAGATCTTCTCTCTGAGCTTTTCTCCCTTCTCTCCTGGGACATTCTGCAGCACAATTTACAGTGGTGGGACCTGACCAGCCTGTCACAGCCGTGGTGGGGGAGGAGATCGTGTTACCCTGTCACCTGGCCCCCAGGATGAGCGTTGAGAACATGGAAGTGACTTGGTTCCGGTCCGAGCTCTCCCCATTTGTCCATCACTATAGCGATGGAAAGAACCAGTACGAGCAGCAGATGCCAGAATACCAGGGACGGACAGAGCTCTTGAATGATGGTCTGACCCAGGGGAATGTTACTTTGAAAATTTTCAATGTCACAGTCTCCGACGAAGGGCGGTACAGCTGTTTTGTTCAAGATGGCACCTTTTATGAAGAAACGCTACTGGAACTAAAGGTGGCAGGTCAGTAGCATGTACGTCTCTTAGGGATGATGCCAAGTGAGTTGAATGATTTGAGCATTTTACCCACGGTCTGTTCCTGAGGTGATTTACTTACTTGTACCAAATGTGGAGAAAAGCGGAGAAGGTGACCCTGGATTATGACGCCTGTTTCCTCAAGAGTCATTTCACCCTGACACTTAACATTTCCCAGGCGTGGGAAATGGACCAAAGAGAGACACAAAACCCGATTTCCTATAGTCACATGGTTAAATCTAAGACCCAGGAATGACTTTTCATTTCCTGAGATAATTGGCCAAATATGCAAATTCCCTTCTGTGGTGGGGCGATGGCCCCTCGCTGGCTGGGAAGGGTCAGTGCAGGCTGGAGGGAGCCTGGGCAGAGCCCTGGCCCATTGGAAAGAGGCTTTGAAAGAGCCAAGCAGGGGGTAGCTTGTGGGGACAGCCCTATAGAGAGAGAGGCCCAGACCTAGGAAGGTGCAGGGCCTGGTTCCCTCAGAGAAGGCATCACCTGTAGAGCGGGGCTGGGCAGGCCCAGGAGGGCTAGAGAGATAGGCTCCAGCCTGATCCCTTCCTGGCTGTGGCCTTGCTACAAGGCCAGGAGGTGCAAAGGGCCAGAGGGGAAGTGGCCCAGGGAGCGAGAGGCAGTGGAGGGGAGAATAGAGCGGGACAAGGCGGCTGCCAGAGGGTCCCTCAGTCGGGACCCAGAGTAATGGATGGATCTGAGTCCCCCACATTCTCCTTTCACCTCACCGCCAAGACATGGCCCATACAGACTGTCGTGTGCCCCTGAGGCAGAGGGGCTGGGCTTGGAGGCCACAGTCGGCCACAAGGGCAGTAGAGACTCAGCACCTCCGATAACCCCTGGAGGGGGATGAGAACTCACTGGAGCGGCACTGCTAGAGGGCCGTGTCCTGCAGAGGGCGCCACATTCCTGGAGCAGTGCAGGTCTGGCACATGAGCGTGGACCATAGACGGGCGAGACACCTCCAGGAGGGGGCGCCCTGCTGAGAAAGGACTAATTCCCCAGAGCTACCAGCAGGAGGCGCCACAGCAGTGAGAATAATGGCCTTTGTAGTGGGACAGACCTGTGCAGCCTTCATGTCACTTGCAATTAGTTACACAGGGAGTCACAGCTGTGCCGGTCTGGAATGCCCATTGAATAGCCTATGGGCACCAGAGACTCCACATCTAAAATATGAATGTTAACATGCAATTACTTCCTCATGAAGTAGTCGGTGGATTGGTTATCGACTATTCGATTAGTCGATAAGGGTAGGCAGTTCCAGCGTGTAGTTTGGTTTGTGCCGTGGCCCGGTGTCACTTTCCATAATCAGAGAGCTGACCTTTCACCTGAAGGCACATTTGAAATACAAGATTTATTTTTCTCCATTTTTATACAGAATCTGTTTGGGTATGTCTACACTAGCACCCTAGTTCGAACTAGGGTGGCTAATGTAGGCATTCGAACTTGCAAATGAAGCCTGGGCTTTAAATATCCTGGTCTTCATTTGCATGTTCCTGGGCGGGTGCCATTTTTAAATCCCCTTAGTTCAAACTGACTGCCTGAGGCTACACGCGGGAAAGCCTAATTCGAACTACCTACTCCGTGCCGCGTGTAGCTGCGGGCACGGAGTCCGAACTACCGGGGATTTAAAAATGGTGGCGCCCGGCAAAATGCAAATAAAGCCCGGGATATTTAAATCCCGGGCTTCATTTGCAACTTCAATGGACTACATTAACCACCCTAGTTCGAACTAGGGTGGTAGTGTAGACATACCCTTTGTGCTAAATTCAATGATCAATTAAAGGGTTTGCTATAGTCCAAAAATGGCATGTCTGTGTGGATCTTGGGAGGGAACAATATTGAGGAGAAAGCTCCATCCTCTCCAAGAAATAATTTATTTCTTGTTCATCTATTTCCCTGAGTTTATGGGCATTTGAGAATAAAAGCTCAGTATGTGCATAAATCAACATGGATTTACACATTTGTCTCTAGCTTCAGGCTCTGCTCCTCATGTGTCCATTGAGGATTACCAGGATGGAGGGATCCGAGTGGTGTGCCGGTCGGCTGGGTGGTACCCGGAGCCCGAGGTGACGTGGAGAGATCTCAATGGACAGGCCTTTCCTTCAGTCTCTCAAACAAATTCCCAAGAAGCCAATGGACTGTATGAAACACAAAATTCTGCTGTTATAATGGAAAATTCCAATCGGAACTTGTCCTGTTTGGTCAGGAACACCCGCCTCAGTCAAGAAAGGGAATCAACATTATTTTATATATCAGGTCAGTGACCATCAAAAACCACATATTGAGCAGTGACAGAAAAAAGACAACAACCTCCTGATCAGATTAAATACAGCATCTATTTAAAACAAACTTACAAACAGAAATCTCCAAAAAACCTAGTTAGTTAATGGTGTCATCTTTTTTGTGCACATAGATAATTTAAGTCTTGTCTACTAAGAAGAATTTGCCAGGACAGCTCTACCAACAAAACACTTCTAGCGTGGGCCAGTGTTCTCTCTCATTTCTTTCCATCCATGTGCAGAATAAATTTTGTTGCACGCACCAGTGGAATGTACAGATGTGCACCACCCCTAGGACTCATCCTTCAGGTGGAGGGTGCTCTGTGCACTCTGCTAATCAAGTTGGTGGCATCTGAATCCCTTTTGAGTGGCCGCCCCAGCACACAGCTTACTGGGAACACTGGTATGGACACTACTATACTGGTTAAGCTGTACTTTTACTTCTCTATCTTATGCCAGGATCCCCTCAGTGATCAGAGACTTTAATGCTGAATACTCCGACCTGTTACTGTTACTAGCAGTTACTATGTTAGATAGCTCATATGAAACAGTAGCCCCAGTGTGCTGCACACTGCAAAAAATCACAGCGTAACAGTCAGTGCCTGCTACAAAGAACAAGCGCCTAAATAATCAGGACCCCAGAAAGTCTGGCCAGGAAATGGAGCCACCGAGAGGGGAAAGGGCTTGTCCACGTTCCCACGGCAGATCTCACAAGACCCATCCCACTGCCAGGTCAGGTTCACTCATATACCAATGTGCCAATGTGGTGGCTCTACTGGTTGGTTTGTGGTGTTTGGTGCAGTGCTGATGGGGCCACATTCTCTCCTTTGTGTTAGACCAGTCCCATGTAGGCTGCCTTACACACAATGGAGTCATCAGAGCTGGGTCCCTGCTTACTGAGTAAAGTGGGTGTCTCTGGGCTTGTGTTTTTCAGATCCATTTTTCCCAAAGGTGAATCCCTGGATGGTGTCTCTGGGAGTGACCCTGGTGGTTTTGCTGGGCTCCTTTGCCCTGAGTGTTTATCTCTTCAGAATCAAAGGTAAATGTTGGAGCAGGAAATACAGGGACATTCCCAAGGGATTTTCTTCAAAGCAGCGCACACAGGGACAGATCTGACACTTGGCCTGGCACGATGGGAGCTTAGAACTGCCCCACCCCCAGCAGCACAGGGATGGTTTCCCTCTGTCTGCGGACTGATCATCTGCAGCAGCCAGGGCTGAACGGAGACATGGGTGAGCCGGGCAGCTGCCCAGGGAGCCAACCGACGGGGGGCGCCTGATGGCAGCTGTAAGGGGCATGCAGCGTCCCTTACAGCTGCCATCAGGAGCCGTGCGCCCGGCTCCCGCAGTGCTGGCCCCGTGTAAGGCTTTTTTCGTGTAGCCGTGGACTAGGCTATTTTGAAATAAAGTCAGTTATTCCGAAATAATTCTGCTGTGTGTAGACATAGCCTTAGAGACCACCAACGGCAGCGCCCTGGCCCCTCCGGCTGCAGGGCTATGCACGGCCCGGTGCGTGCGCTAGCAGCGCTGGCCGGGCCGGGCTGGGCAGCGCATGTGCCATGTGCCCCAGGGGTGGGCCCACGCATGCACCCTGCGCTCGGGGGCGGCGTGCGCGCCCGGGCCCAGGGCACCAAAGGGCTTGGGCTGGCCCTGGCAGCAGCCCCTGGTTACAGGCTCAGGGGACAACTCCCCCGGACATAAAATGGCCATACTGGGTCAGACCAAAGGTCCATCTAGCCCAGTATCCTGCGCATGTGCCATGTGCCCCAGGGGTGGGCCCACGCATGCACCCTGCGCTCGGGGGCGGCGTGCGCGCCCGGGCCCAGGGCACCAAAGGGCTTGGGCTGGCCCTGGCAGCAGCCCCTGGTTACAGGCTCAGGGGACAACTCCCCCGGACATAAAATGGCCATACTGGGTCAGACCAAAGGTCCATCTAGCCCAGTATCCTGTCCGCCCACAGTGGCCACCACCAGGTGCCCCAGAGGGGATGGACCAAAGACAATGATCAAGCGATTTGTCTCGTGCCACCCATCTCCAGCCTCTGACAAACAGCCAATGGGCTATGTAAAGAAATGTGTTCTCCAATGCAGAGAAGCACTCAGAGCCATTTGGTAAGTCTCCTTCTCTCTCCTTACATACATGATATTTTTGTACATGCTCATGTCCTTGTAGCAGCATTGGGGAGGGAGTGGGCATCGTGTTTCCTGGTTCTTTTGAAAGATTTGCTATTCACATTTTTTAAAACAGGGGGAGCTTAAGGACACCTCTGTACTTACCAGACACTTGACAGTCTGGAGCTTAATCCCGCTGCTCTGACTGCATGAAGTCAGTTCTTTTTCACAGTAGAAGCCCATCTACCAGGGAGACTGACCTTCAAAAATGGAGACGCTTCACATCCTGATACCAACGAACTCAATTTGATCCTCAGAATGCCCCACGTCCTTCCATTCTATACTACATCTATCACCTTAAGGAAGGGGGCTTATCTGCCTCTACGGTCAGGGTACACCTTGCAGTGATTGCTGTATTCCATGAACAAGTGGACAGCTCATCAGTTTTCACCCAGCCTGTTACGAAGAGGTTTTTAAGGGGCCTTCAGAGCCTTTATCCCACCCCCCCAACACACACACAGAGGCGTGAAGGTGGTCCGACCAGAGATACGGGGATCGATTTTTAAGAGTAAGAGGTTTTGTTTTTAAAGCAGGGGTGAGGAACCTAATACCCCAGCTCACGTGAGTGTGGCCCTCGAGACTCAAGGTTCCCACACTAACGCTCTAGCTCCCCTCCAGATTGGTGATAGAAATGTAGCCGTGTTAGCCTGGGGTAGTTGAAGCAAAATGCAGGACAATGTAGCACTTTAAAGACTAACAAGATGGTTTATTAGATGATGAGCTTTCGTGGGCCAGACCCACTTCCTCAGATCAAATAGTGGAAGAAAGTAGTCACAACCATATATACCAAAGGATACAATTTAAAAAAAATGAACAAATATGAAAAGGACAAATCACATTGCAGAACAGAAGGGGGATGCGGGGGGGTGGGAAGGGGGAGGAAGGAAGGTAAGTGTCTGTGAATTGCTGATATTAAAGGTAGGGAGAGTGGGATGTTTGTGAGTTAATGGTATTACAGGTGATAATTGGGGAAACTGTCTTGGTAATGGGTGAGAAAGTTCAAAGACTTGTTAAGTCCTTGTTGGTAAGTGTCGAATTTTAACATGAATGACAGTTCAGAGGATTCCCTTTCAAGTGCAGATGTAAAAGGTCTTTGTAGCAGAATGCAGGTGGCTAAGTCATTTAGAGAGTGTCCTTTCTGGTTAAAGTGGCAAGAAACTGTTTTCTCTTTGTGATCTTGTCTGATATCTGTTTTGTGGGCATTAATCCTTTGGCGAAGTGTCTGAGATGTTTGTCCAATGTACATAGCAGACGGACACTTTCGGCACATGATAGCGTAGATTATATTTCTGGATGCGCAGGGATATGTGTTCTTGATCTTATAACTCACTTGGTTGGGTCCAATAATGGTATCAGCAGAATGAATATGTGGACAAAGCTGGCAACGGGGTTTGTTGCAAGGGAAGGTACCAGGGTTGGTATTAGTGTGGTATGTCCTGTGGTGGTTGGTAAGAATCATCTTGAGGTTAGGTGGTTGTCTATAGGAGACTATGGGTCTGTCTCCCAGAGCCTGTGCAGCCTCATGGTTCCTCAGTCTAGTGCTAGACTGCCTTATGAGACCCCCATTTGAGCCTATGGCCACATGTGCACTTTCATTCCTTACAGTGAAGGTGCTGTGTTTGGTAGCTTTCACCTCTGCAAGGAGGGTCAGTGAGATGGGCATTAATTGTCCACCCTTCCTTTCTCCCTAAAATTACCACCTCATTCCACATCAATAGTTCTGCCTATTTTTGTTTTTTTGCAAAGCCGCACATGTCCCCTAGGGATGCACTGCTTCATACGCTAGACATTTTATACTCTAGCATTCTACATTGACAGAACGCAGGTGTTCTGCAAAAAGGCATTCCTTTTTGTCTCAGTCGCTAAGGGGTACACCCATCTCCTCCACATCGATAGCATCCTGTATCATCCACTCTCATGATCTTTGCAATAAGCCCCTGACAACTCCCCAGAGGAAACATTCCACCCATGCCCTGGCAAAGTACTGCTTTCCTGAGCAGTGTCCTTTTGAGCAACATCTGTCGAGCAGCCACCTGGTCATCTGAACACACCTTTTCCAGGCATTATGCCATCATGCTGCAATTAGCAGGCGATAGAGCAGTGGCTACAGCAGTCTTATCCTCCACCATTAGGCAGTAACTCTGATTCCCACCATCCACAGTGGGTACTGCTTTGTAGTCACCAAGGGTATGTCTAAACTACATGGCTCCGTTGACGGAGCCATCTAGATTTGTTTACTGGGCAAAGGGAAATGAAGCCCAGAAATGAATTTTAATTTAAATTCATTTAAATTTAAATGGCTGCCGCGTTGAGCCGACAAACAGCTGATCAGCTGGTTTGTACGCTCAGCGTGCTAGTCTGGACACTCCCCTGTTGACATCAAAGCCCTTTGTCGGCAGTCCAGTTATTCCTCATGGGATGAGGTTTACCGGGGCTGCCGACAAAGGGCTTTGATGTCGGCAGGGGAGCGGCCAGACTAGCGCGCCGAGCGGACAAACAGCTGATCAGCTGTTTGTCGGCTCACCGCGGCAGCCATGTAAATTTAAATGAAGCCGCGATCATTTAAATCGCGGCTTCATTTGCCTTTGCCAAAAAACCAAAACTCCATGC